ACAGGGAGGGGGACCCCAGGACACAAGAGGCAGCAGGGAGCGAGGCAGAGAGTGTTTATTGTTCTGGGTAAGGACTTAAATAGCTCTTGTGGGGATTACAAAGTGACCCCACTGATAACCCTCTTTTATCAGAGGTATTTGATATCACTTACATAGGTTTGTATTTGCAAAACTCTTTCGTCTAATTTAAACCGTTTTCTTTCTGTTTCATTTACTGCTGGACATAACAACACATACTGCAGTTAAAAGTATTTTATTAGAGTCACTTTGGCAGCTGGAATTTACCGATGTCTGTATTCTGGTGAAAGGAATGCTGCTTTTCTGTTTCAACTGTCTTTCGACCGCTTTTTTGGTACGCGGGATGGGGAGAGGGTGGGTTCTCTGGCAGGGCCTGCTCTTTCTCCTGCCACATGGCGCGAGGCAGGGTGTTCTTTCGGCGGCTTTCGGTGTGGGGGACAGGGGGAGGTGCTTTCCCAGCGGTGCAGCTCTGTGGCCACTGTAGAAAACCTCGGCCACGTGGAGCGGTGGGGGGGGCGAATCATCCGACCATGCGGCACTGGGGATAGTCACCTGGTGGACACGCAGTTCTAGGGGGGGGGTGCTCGACGCTGGCTTTTATCTCGGTCCCGGGATGGCCTGGCTCGGCAAGCTCTGGCACGGGAGGACGGTCCCAGGACAGCTGGATGAATGATGCAACTTTCACAGAGTTGTTCAGGGCGGGGGAATTGTTCGTGGAGCTGTTTCTAACAGGTTTAACTGGTTCTTCGCCAATGCACACGTGGTCTGAATTCCTTTGTTGGAACGGAACTTTTTTTTTTTTTTTAGTTCTTAAAGCAGTCTTTTTAAATGACTTGCCGATGGAAATTAGTATGTTTTTTAAGCTTCCTTTTCTATCTTAAAGAGGCATGTGCGCACATGCTTGTATTAGTTTCAGGGTCAGAGGGGAAAGGATGCTGCTGGAATTTGCTTCTACCTTCTCCGATGCAAAGTTAGGCTGACGGATGTCCCACAAACCTCTGAGTTTGTGACATCCAGAAAGCTGAAATTCCAGGAGTTTGCCCAACGCAGAATATCCCAACACCTTCTGTGCTGAAGCTGCCTTATCTTCACAGAGGTCAACCATGTCCAACTGTTGGGCGCCATGTGACAAACTTTGAGGGGGGACAGGGAGGGAGACTCCAGGCTAGAGGTTTTTCCTTTTACCTCTAGATCGGGAGGGGAGCATGCTCTCTCCCCCTCCCCCCACCACGTGGGCCCAGAGACAAGCCCTGCTGCGTCTACGGTGGTGGGGCTGGGCGTGGAGCGGGGAGGGAGGTGAGGAGAGAGGTGCGGGCAAGATCCAACTGTGAGCGAAGCGTCAGATTTGCGTGGAGGGGCCGTGTCCTGGCGGGGCGGGGGCTTAAAAGGGAGTCAGGGTCCACGGCAGAGCATAAAAGGGAGTCAGGGTCCACGACACAGCCCCATCATCGTGGGGACGTGGAGCTGGTGGGATCACACC